TTAATTGAAAAGAGGGAGAGAAAAGAAAAAAAAAGGAAAGAAATGTACATTCATTTCTATTTGGTATATTTATTTCATTTTAAAATTTAAAAAAAAAAAAAAAAAGAAAGAAAAAAAACGCATATAAATAAGAAAAAAAAAACAAAAGTAAAACAGATGGTATTTATCATTTAGTCATCCTTTCTTCGTTTTTTCTAATTTAAAAAAAACAAAAAAAAACAAAAAAGAAAGATTTGATTGAAATTTGAATGGCATGTAGTTTAAATAATGTACGAAGATGTTGTATGATATATTATCATAGTAAGTGATAAGCTTTCTTTTTATTAAATTTCATTGAGTTATTTTAATTTCATTCAATTTTATTGAATGTTAAACTCCTTTTTTTAATTTAAAATTATCCTATCCTTCTATCTTTATCATCTTATAACGGAACAGATCTGTCATTATATTATCATCTGATATTAAATGATAAGAAATTATATATTAATAATTATGATCATATATCATTTGAATGTTAGTAAATTAAGCAAAAAAAAAGAAAACAGTAGCATTTTTCATCATTATTATCTCCCCATTATGATGTAACATTAATTAATTTAATTTAATTAAAATTATTTGCAAATAATAATTAGGAATAATTTATATTTTTGAAAATTTCCATATTTACATGCATATTTGTGTTATATTTTATAATATATATTATATATTTTATATATATTTTCTGTTTTGAATGTGTTTTCAAAAATAAAAAAAAAAAAAGTAAAAATATTTTTGTGAAAGAGCAATAGCACTTGCCGAAAGAAATGGTATTTTTAGCCGTTGAATAATATTTCACAGTGTAATATATTTATTGGAAAAAAAAAAAATAGGAGAGAGGGAAAGGGAGAGGGAGAGAGAGAGAGAAGAAAAAAAAAGAAAGATATTTTTTGAGAGTAAACTTAGAGAATAGAATATTAATCACCACGAACAAGAATAACAATAATAATAATAATAGCAACAATAACAACAACAACAGCAACAACAAACAACAAACAACAATAAACAACAACAAACAACAATAACGACAACAACAACAACAACAAAAACAACAAATAAACAAACAATGAATAATAGATAATAATCTGAAACATTGTTTCTTTTTCTCTTTCTACCAATTATTTCTTTAGTTTTTATTTTTATAATGAATCGATATTTAATTATGATGAAATATTTTAATTTTTAAGAATTTTTTGTAAAATAAATTTCGAAAATTTCATTTCATTTATTTTTTATCTCTAATAATTTGATTATTTAATAATAATATTTTCACATTATATTAATAAAAGTAATGATAACAATTTATCATCATGATCTTTTTGCTTTTTTTTTTTTTTTTTCAAGATTACTAGATTTATTTCATTTAATTTTATCACTTATCATTATATTTATTGTAATATTCTAACATCACTTAATGCACTTTTCATCTTCTAATGAATAATTAATTTGTATTTTTGAAGTGAAAATTTCATTCGATGATTTTTAAAACGATGATTAATGCGAGCTAAAATATGATTTCGTAAGATTGATAGCATAGTAAGTAGAAAACAAGCAATGATCTCTCTTATCATATGTGCAAACAACGATGTAATCTGTATAGGAGGTAACTAACTAGCTATATGATAACAGTCAAGGATTATTATCAGTGATTGATAAATTAATACAGTAAAAATTGATTTAATTAAAATTTTTTTCAAATTAATAGGAATGATTATTTTTAAATTTTATGATCCCAACTGTTAATTAAAAAGTTAATGTGGTCTTTAGTCAAGGAATGTTTTGAAAGCCTATTACTCTAAGTGATTATTAATCAGTGAATTTTTGAAAATCACTACTCTAAGTAATTATTAATCATCGAATTTATACATAATAATGCTATGTCATGGTATCATAACAATGCCATTTTTATAATGATAAGTTGATGATAATTTTTCCAAAGATAAAAGCAACATCGAATTGTCAAAAATTAGATTTATCCATTTATTAAATACAGTATTTCCGGAAAGCTAATTGATTATGTAAAAGGATTTAAATGAAAGAGTAATCCGTTCATTAAATACAGCATTTCCGGAAAGCTAATTGATTATATAAAAGGATT